TGGGGCCACTCTGTGTCTCTGGGACCTCCTAAGTGGAACTTCAGGCTCAATAACATTTGGTTCCGGTATCACCACACTCTGCTGCGGGGTCAGCTTATCCTGCTTGTGGGGCTCCCCGGTCACCACCACTTCCGGTACACTTGGTGTATCATCATGTGTATCACCATTCTCTAGCAGTTTCTTTACATGAGATGTATTGCGGGAGTATTGGGCTCCTCCTGGAGATTGCACGATCAAGCTGTTCCCGTGCTTGTTTACCACAGTGTACGGACTTGGTTCAAAACGGGTTGTGAGCTTATTTTTCCTCTCTTGTTGCACTAGCACTTGATCTCCAGGAAGTACCTCTGAGTACCTCGCATTCCTTTGCATGTCAGCGTACGCTTTGCTCTTACTCTTCTGTTCGTTGTCCCTATCACGCACTTCTTGTTCGACATGTACATCGCTCAGCTCAGGAAGCTTGGTGCGTACTTTCCGTCCGAAGAGCAGCTCGGCGGGGCTTACACCAGTCGTTGGGTGAGGTAAGCTTCTGTACGCTGCAAGATAAACATTCAGCTCTTTCTTCCAGTCCTTCTTTTGAGCATGTGCGATTTGGAGCCTTTTCAGAAGTGAGCTATTTTGGCGCTCAACTTCTCCATTTGCCTGGGGCCATTTTGCTGTTACCCTGTGGTGTCTGATTCCCTGCTGCTCCATGTACTCTGTAAACTCTGTTGCTACGAACTGTGGTCCATTGTCAGATGTCAAGCTCTCAGGTAGACCATGTCTTGCAAATATCTCTTCCAGACTCGAGATGACTTTAGAGGCAACTGTGGATCTCATGATGTCTATCTCGTAGTAGCGACTATAGTAGTCAACGACGACCAGAATGGACTCACCAGTGGGAAGTGGTCCGAGCAAATCAATTGCCAAATCTCTCCATGGTCCAGTCGGCAATGCTGTGCTCCTGATAGGCTCTGGTGGGCTGGGACGGCTGACTAACTGACATCCATAGCAGGTTTTACAGTGTTTTTCAGCATCCTTTTCCATCCCGGGCCACCACACTTTACTGCGCAACTTCTGTTTAGTTCCAACGATGCCCAGATGACCTTCGTGAGCGAGAGACAACACCCTGGGTCTGAGTTTCTTCGGGATAACGATTCTTGTTCCTCTTAGTATCAATTGTCCAATGCTGCACAGTTCACTACTACATGGGAGGTATTTCTTGTAGGCTAGCTGGTCCCACGGTTTTCCGTTTAGGCATTCCTTGACTGCACAGAGTTCTTCATCGATTGCTGAGGCTTCTTCCACTTCTCGTGTAGTCATAGCACAGGGGGTCGCATTTATGGCTACAAATCTGACATATTCCTCGGCTTCAGCTGAGTGACTGCTGCTGGTTTTTAGATTTCCCACTAGCCTTGAGAGGGGGTCAGCAATGTTGCTCGGCCCAGGCTCATACTTGACCTTGAATTTGTATGGCTGCATTCGTAACACCCATCTTTCAATGCGTGCGCAGGGTTTTGACCTTGGGCCGTAAATAACTTCCAGCGGCTTGTGATCCGTAACAAGATCAAATGGCACACCATACACATAGGGATGGAACTTTTCGCAGGCCCATACGAGTGCCAGGGCCTCTTTCTCTGTCTGCGAATATCTTCTCTCGGTGTCTGTCAGACTACGACTTGCATAGCAGATGACTCTCGGTCCATTCTTCTGCTTTTGGGTCAGTACCGCTCCCAGTCCAACAGGGCTGGCATCAGCAATCACTTGGGTTGGGGCATCTTTGTCGAAGTACCCCAAAGTCTCAGCACAGGTCAATCGCTCTTTTAGCTCCTGAAACGCCTTCTTCTGTTCACCTCCAAACACGAAAGGGGTCCCTGACTTTGTCAGGCGACGTAAGGGCTCAGATACCGTTGCCAGGTCGGGTATGAAGCGGCCACAGTAGTTTACAAGCCCAAGAAAACTTCGGGTTTCTGATACCGTTCGAGGTTCTCGTGCCTCTTTCACGGCTTTCACCTTTTCTTCTGTGCAACTGATCCCGTTCCCGGACAATACCATGCCAAAGAATGTGAGTTTATCCATGCTAAACTGGCACTTTTCTGCATTGAGGGTCAGTCCACGTTCCTTTAATCTCACAATTACTTTCTCCAACCGCAAATCGTGCTCTTTCTGGTCTCTACCATGTATGATGATGTCATCTGAAATGTTCTCTTGCCCTTCTATACCCGCAAGTGCCGTCTGGATCTCGTACTGGTACTGTTCAGAAGCAGAGTTAACACCAAACAATAGTCTCTTGTATCTGAACAGACCGCAGTGGGTAGCAAACGTAGTAATCTCTCGGGATTCTGGGGAAAGCTCAAGCTGGTGATATCCCCACTTAAGGTCAAGTTTGGAGAATACCTTGCTGCCACTTATGCTCTGAGTAATCTCATCAACAGTAGGGATCGGGTGTCTGGCTCTTCGTATTGCTTTGTTAGCCCTTCGCATGTCAATGCAAAGACGGATGTCACCCCCAGATTTTGGGACAACAACAATTGGGTTAACCCATGGTGTGGGCCCCTGTGCAGGTTCAATAATGTCTAGTTCAATGAGTTCTTTAATCTTTTCTTCCAACTTTGATCTCATGCTGAACGGAGTCCTCCGCATCGGCTGTGCTACTGGCGTCACATTGGGGTCGATGTGGAGCTGTACTGCTCTGTCTTTCAACTTTCCAACGCCGCTGAAAACATTTGGGTACTTCTGTTGCAGGATCCCACCAATGGTCTGTGGGTCTGCAGTTACTGCAGCGATGCCAATCCCTATTTTCAGTACGCCTAGACTAGTTGCAGTGTCCTTCCCCAGAAGGGGGTCTCCTTCACCATTAATCACACAAAATTTGGCACTAGCAGTATTGCTTCCTGCAGAGACTTCACAGGAGAATGTTCCTATCACATCAAGTGGTGTCTGGGATGCGTAGGCATAGAGTTTCCTACTCGAGCGAGCTGATTCGCACTTCACTTTGTTTTTCTTCAACCACTCCCATGTTTCCTTGTCAATGATGTTAGTGCTTGCTCCAGAATCTATGATCATGTTCAGCTTACAACCTCCAACGGTTACTTCAATCTTCTCATTCCTGCCTCCTACCGTAAAAGCATACCCTGGTTCCTCTTCTTCGTTGTGGCAACCAACCATATTTGCGGCACCTCCCTTGGGGTTCCTGTGGCCTTTGGTTTGTTTTTGCTTTTCTTCACCTTTCTGCTTGGTCCTGCACTGCTCTTGAAAATGTCCTTCCAGCCCACATCGATGGCAGAATTTACCTCTTGCTGGACAGTTAGAATCTCGACCGAAATGTCCGGTTCTACCACATCGGTAACAAGTTTTCTCACGGCCGGTTTTGGTACCTCGTGACTGATTTCTCTTGCCATGGCCTGTCTTTGTTCCCTCTATGCGGTTTACACTAGCTGAATTCTCTCCCTTTTCCTCTATGGTCATTGCAGCAAGCTGTGCGTCGACTTTTTCGCAGTTCTGGGCGATTTCAAGCGCTCTAGCTAAAGTGAGGCCTTGACGTTCTTCCAGGAGTTTTCGTTTTATGTACGTGCTGGTGCACTTGCAGAGGATTTCATCACGAATTTGGTTATCTGTATCTTCGCCATAGTCACAATCTTTCGATGCTCGTCGGAGTCTGGTTGCAAACTGTCGGATTGTTTCCCCTGGTGCTTGAATTAGCTGTCTGAAACAGTGTCTAGCATACGTAGTGTCGACTTTGGGAGCGAAGTATGCGTTCAGTGCATCGACCGCTTTCCGGTAATCTTTCACATCTCCCGTGTTCGGCAGGGTAAGGAAAATATCTTGAACATCGGGTCCCGCGAGATGGAGCATTAATGCACGTCTCCTCTGCCTGTTGTTCGCGTTGTCTTCATTTAGAATTAAGCCTTTGCCATCTGCAAATAGTTCGAAAGCTGTCAGCCACCGTTTCCATCGCAAGCCAAGCGTGTTTTGGTCCCCATGACAGTCGAATGTTTTGATATGGTTTCGTTCATTATCGTCCATGTTTCTCGCGAACTGTTCGTCTCGCTGACTTCTTGGGATCTTGTTTTACCCTCGTCGCCAATGTTGTGACCGATCTGGTCGGCAAATAATGGAAGATTACAACGGATTCAACCTTGGACGATGGCTTTATTTCGCCTACACGACTCGTGGCTCCTGATTCCCTAGTCAGGCGTTACAATGTCCTACCGAGAGGGAGTCTGGGTCCTAATACACAACAGTGGTTACACGTATGTAATATATATAAAGATAGATCATAAGAAAGACTAGAGAAAAAGAGTTGAAAAAATGTTTAATATATAAACAAATAAACAAAAATAAAATCAATTTAATTAAGTTTACAATCATGTACATTACAAATATAAGAAGCCGAGTTTTCAGGAAATTTTTGTTATTAAGTCGGGTAAATCTGAAAGTATCCGGAGTAAACTGTCGTGGATTTTTACACCATATCTTGAAAAAGACTTAGTGTTTAACATAATAGTCACCTCATGAAGATGATCTTGTATTATATGAATGAATATTAGATTGGGAAGCAAATAAGTTAGATATATAGTGTTAGTAGCTGTTAAGCTGTTAGATATATCATGCATTAGAATAGCAACGGATTTAAAGTAGAGTAGATCTAAAGAAAGCTAGAGGAGACAAAATAAGGTACCGCATGAGAATTATAGTCACCAAAGATCATGAGGCGGAGGGCGCGTTTTTAAAGAATAAGAATTTTGTTGTTGTAAGTTTTAGCAGCTTGGCCCCAAGCGACTATGTCATACCAAGCTTAGCCTTTCCTTTACCTTCTTGGCGTCTGACAGCAATGATTGTAGACGTGGGGAAAGGTGGTCGTAGAGGCCTAAGTTCTCCATCGAGTCGCTTTCTTGAAGGCCAATGCTTGCAGGGTCTATCTTTGTCACTTCTCTACGGAGCGCCATGACTTGTTCTCGAGGAACTCACCGAGTAAATTTGCAAACAATCGGTTTAGGGCGACCTTCAGCGGCTTGACGTGGTGTTACCCTGTGGGCCAAATCGATGTCATAGGGATGTATCTCTGCACCAATTGCATTAAAAATATTCAGACAGAGCTGTGACGTTTCAGAGGCATTTTCAAGCGGCTTAATCTCCGGAACACCAACAAGTTTGACGTTATAACAGGGACCACGGAGGGGGAGGGGCTGGTAGGGCCGCGGCCCCTCCACTTTTTTGCGCCCCCGCTCCCACTTTTTGTGCTAAAAAATAAAAAAAGGACTTGAAACAAGTTTTTTTCCGTCTATATTCCGCTATATTCTCTGTATTTTCTTTAATTTCAAACGCCAGGCATTTTGTGGGGCTCCTGTGCTTTTCGCGGTAATTGTGCCCAGGGGCCGACTTGCCCCTTGATCAAACGCCATGCCTTGGCCACCCCTTCGCTTCGTTCGGCAGCGTGTTTTGTACTTCCAGCTCCGACAAAGTTCTTTAGCAGTTTTATCAGACAAAATGAAGAAAATTACTAGCTTTTTCAAGCCAAACGAAGGTGAGTAGTTGTTTTGAGTTGATAAAAGTTTTATATTTTGTCTTTCTCCTTTCGAATCAATGAAATATTCGATGGCAAGAAGAATTGCATTACTTGAACAGTGAACTGCCATAGTCAGAAATTTTTCAGATCACTTCAGTGTAGTACTTTCTATACTAAAATTCTAATCGCGTCTTTTCTTGCATCGAATCTGAACTGACAGTGTATGTTGGTCGTTTATTAGAAAAAATTATTTTTAATTGTCAGCCCTCCCACTTTTCACCTTGCTCCGCGGTCCCTGTATAAGAATAACTGTATTCCTGGGCTTGATCGATTGCCGAAGCAAGATTATTAACACGAGATGATGTGACAGCCAAAGATTTCTCCATGGCAGATATTCTTTCTTCGGCTTGTTTCCGAAACTTGACAAGGACGTCATATTCTTTACTCAGAAAATCCAGAGACTTCGTAGCACCGGCCTCATCACCACTGGTTGCATCATGGCTGCCAGGACACTGCTGCTTCAAGGACTCTTTAAGTTGCTTAAGTTCTCCAAGAACAGTATCTACTTTCTCCTTCAACTTGTCATTCTCAGATTTCAGTGATTTGAATGAACAGTTTCTTTTACCATTCCTAGTTTTATTATTCTGTTGAAAATTATTCGAAATAACTTAACTTAAATACGACCTAGGAAGGCTTTCGTCCGATCGCACTCAAAGCTTTGTGATATGATAAACGGTACTCGTGAATGGCTTGTCATCCAGCAAGCCGCTGCCAAGTGGTGGTGTCCAAGTTCTGCAAGGGGCTAACTAGAAATACGTATTTCGCAATAACCCTCGCGAAACTCAGTTTGGTAACGGCAGTCAAGTTAAGCCCTGTCGGTCGGGGTTACGAACTGGATGGGTGACCAACCGTCTTATGGTATCCTTGTATATATATGAGGCACTGAATGGGGGGCTCCACTTGTCGGTTGTCGGTTAAAATTCAGTAACTTTGTCGGTAGTTGGTTAAAATTTTCGATCCTTGTCGGTAGTCGGTTAAACGTTTCGATTTTTGTCGGTCGTCGGAAAATCTCAGTGAATAATTAAAAACGCTTCTTGATTATTAATATCTTTTATGTATTTCACCCACTTTTGGAGACTTTGATCCCTAAGGAAAAAGTAAAACTTGTACTAATGCATCATTTGATTGCACTTAAACTTCATTAGCCGTCTTGTTTGTTTATGCAACATGATCGTTTATTTCACCATTGTTTGCCAAATGAATATGATGAGTACTGATAAAATCACCAAAGCTTTTATTGTAAATGCGAACTTGGTTTCCCGGCAGACTACAAGGCACAGTAAAAAGTAATTAATTAATCAATGGACTCTAACCTTTTTGGATACTTCAATTATTTTTAGTGAAAAACTGCAAGGGGTGACAGGCTGCACATCTATCCCTCTTATGTTTTGACTCTAACAAGCATGTCCTTTGCCATAATTATTTTCCTTTCTCAGAGATATAGCACTTTAGGTGGTTCTTTAAAGTTTTGTCAAGGTGGTGGTTGGTTTTGTATGAGATTCCACTTTTTCATTAAAGCTTCTTTTATAATAGACACTAAGGGCTGGTATTGTCCTGTTTAAATAAGCCGTGGCTATCCAATGCGCTTATTAAGTGTATTAAGAAGAAAAATAGGCGAAAATCCAACAATGGATCGTCAATCAATTTACAAAAGTTATAAAAACAAATTAAATCATTCTCTGCGGACAGCAAAACGTCTATACTATGAGAAGAAATTGAATAATGTTCAATCTAATACTCGTGCTACTTGGAAAGTTTTAAATGAAATTCTAAACAGAAGCAAAAGAAATTCCAATATATGCTCAACATTTAAAGCTGACGATCGTGAAATTACTGATCCTGCCGAAATTGCCAATAAGTTTTGTAGTTATTTTTCAAGCATCGGTCCTAATTTAGCAAGGGGTATACAGTCGTCAGCTTCACACCGTAGTTTTCTTAATGGTTCCTTTACACAGTCAATATTCTTCAACCCTACAACTCAAGATGAGATCGCTGAGATTGCGAATTTTCCGTAGGTATTTTTCTTGACCTCTCAAAAGCCTTTGGCACTGTAAATCATATCATCCTTTTTGATAAACTCGAACATTACGGTATTCGTGGCTTAGCGCTGGACTGGATATGAAGTTACTTGTCAAACAGAAAGCAATATGTTGAATATAATGGCCACCGTTCGTTAAGAAATGAACTCTCTTGTGGGGTCCCTCAGGGTTCTATCCTCGGACCTCTATTTTTCTTACTGTACATTAACGACATCAACAATGCTTCTAATCTATCAAATCTGACATTGTTCGCTGACGATACCATTGATTCCTGTCACATAAAGATCTGAACTATCTCTCAGATATGTTAAACTTGGAGTTGGACAAACTGTCAATCTGGTTTAAAGCAAACAAGCTTTCTCTAAATCTTAAAAAGACTAAATTTATGGTCTTTAAACCAATACAAAAGCGTTCAATTTATAATATTCAAATGAGTATAGATAACCAAAATATTGTTGAAGTAAAAGAGAGAAATTTTCTAGGCGTAATTGTGGATGAAAACCTAAATTGGAAGTCGGAAATATCACACGCTGCAAGTAAAGTTGCGAAGTCAATCGGTATAATATCTAGATGCAGCTTCTTTCTTCCTAAATCGTCTTTACGTATGCTCTACTATTCCTTAATTTATCCTTATTTTTACTTTTGCAATATCGTTTGGGCTTCGACCTATAAAACCACTCTCCGCCGCCTTGTTATCCTGCTAAAGCTTATTAGAATTATTAATAAATCACATTTCAATGCTCATACTGAACCCATCTTTAAGGACCTCGGTATACTAAAATTTAATGATATCCATTTGCTTTAACTGGGCCAATTTATGTATTCTTGCAAAAATTCGTTCTTACCTCCAAAGTTTAATAACAATTTCTCTCAAAGCAATCAATTCCACTCTTACAATACAAGAAATTCCCAGGCCTACTGTCTACCGTATTGTCGTACAAACACGAAGAAGTTCTCGCCCTTTTTTCAAGGGCCTAAGTTTTTTAATTCACTTGACAACAAGGTCATCAACTCTCAATCTCTCTCCTCTTTTAAGAAAAAACTGAAGATTAAATTATTGAGTAAGTATGAAAACAGTTCATAAGTCTTTCCATCTTCGACTTTTCGCCTTCTTTTCTTCAGTTGATGTGAAACAGCTCTAGCTCATAGTTCGAGGAGGCCTAACC